CTGCCATGGACAGGGCATGGGAAGCCTCCACCTCCCCCCCCACTCCGTGAGCTGACCTGGGGGGCAGGAGAGGCTAGAGGAATGGAGCTAGGTTCCCCCCATGGACGCTGGGGGGGCAGCAAGCCCCTGCCTGGTAGGTATTGAGCAAAGCCCCTGCCCAGAGCACTAGGGAAGCCCAGTTTGTGCCCCAAGGGGGTGGGACCCCCGATGATGTCAGCACTGGGCTCCGACCACCTGTGATGACATCGGTGCCTCTTGGGGACTTGACACCCCAGGGACTGAGGGGGGCCCCAGCTGGGGTCAGGGCTCTTCAAGGCTATTCTGGGGTGGGAGGAGCTGTGCTGGTATGTGCTGCTGATGACACTGCTCCCCCTCCAGGTGCTGTGCAGTGACTGGGGTTGTGGGGTAACCCTCCTAGCCTGTCATCTCCCCTCCTGCAGAGATCTCCCTGTGGGCTCCCAGACAGGTGAGTACCAGGCGAAGGGAGCTCTGACCCCTGAATGCCATGGAGTGGGGGGCATGTTGGACTGGGGTGGGATCGAACAGGAGTCCTAGGGTGTTTGTGGTTGGGGGGGTGCTGTGGGTCCCCAATGATGTTAGCACTGGGCTCCGAACTCCTGTGATGACATCTGTGCCTCCTGGGGCCTTGACACCCCGGGACTGAGGGGGCCGCAGCTGGGATGGGGAGGAGCAATGCGATTGGGGGTGGGGGACTATGCTGAGGCTAATACAGCCCACCTTTCTCTTCCAGGTGTGCCAGCCCACGAAGCCAGGACTCCTGGGTGTGCCTGGGGCCTGCCATGCGGAACTGGGGCTCTGATGGCTGCTAATCCAGCCCTTTGGGGCTCTACGTGGGGAGAACTGGGCTGCTGGAGCAGCTCCCAGCTTCTGCAGCCCCTGGTGGGGTGGGGGACTATGCTGAGGCTAATACAGCCCACCTTTCTCTTCCAGGTGTGCCAGCCCACGAAGCCAGGACTCCTGGGTGTGCCTGGGGCCTGCCATGCGGAACTGGGGCTCTGATGGCTGCTAATCCAGCCCTTTGGGGCTCTACGTGGGGAGAACTGGGCTGCTGGAGCAGCTCCCAGCTTCTGCAGCCCCTGGT